AATAAAATTAATATACAAGCATATACGAATTATATCAAAATAGAGGAAAAAGATACCGTATGACATCAAATAGAATTAAATCTCATTCAATGATTTAGTAATTTAGAAAATATAATTTCAAATATCAAAAAAAGATCCAGGTTTTACCTTATTTCATGAATGCAAAATTTTAAACTTCTCCGTTAACTATAATTGGCTTTTTTGATTTTTACGGTGTTTCTAGAAGATGATTAAATGCTTGAGAACTGTCTTTCTATTAACGAATAGTGGTTAAATAGACGTGGGAAAGAGAAATTTAAAGTAACACTATTTGCCCCCTGTCACTATTTGTCCCCCCTTTCGCTTAGGTATAAAAAGTGCGCGAATTAATCAAATTCATGTCGCGAAGAGTATTATAATATTGTCGAAAAAGTTTCAGATATTTCGACATTGTTCCTTCGTTAGGATTTTGATTGATGGTAGGTTTGCCGGTACACTTGTTCGGCTTTAAGCTGGTTCAACTTTACGGTGTCTTACTGCTTGAGATGTCGATAAGTGTCGATAAACTTTAGCCGCAATATGAAACTTTAGCCCAAGTATCAGGTCCTCGATATACATCGACCAGCTATTTACAAGTCCAAATACTTCGCTAATCTGCGCATTAATCCATTCAACTATCGGCTTAATGGTTATTAATGATCAAAGAGCCAATTTTTAACACGATCAATTAGCAGTAATTCTTAATACTTATAGACACAGCTAAACGCTGTATTCTTATATAGTCTCGTCGAGACACGCTTTCCTGAAAGGGAAGCAACAATCAGTGCGTTTTACTGAATTGTCAAATGCACAAAGTAAGAAGGTTATAATTAATTGTAGGTATAAAATTTTCAAGTCGTTCTCGCAAAGTTAATTACAAAGTTAAATACATCAAGTTTACTCAGATAATAAACACGTTAAGATGTAGAAACTTTTAAGTCATTAGTAACGCTAATATTAATTACTTGAATTACTTGAAAGTTACTAAACTTTATTAACCACTAATTCGTACTTTGACCGAACAAAACATTTATATGTATAATATAATGGGGTACGTAAAGAGGGAGAAAGTGGTGGAGTGAAAAATAAATAGAAAGAGCGAAGGAAGAAGAGATAGGGTTGAGGAAACGTCGTGTAATAAAAAAGCGGTAGCGTAGCCTAAAGAGAAAAAGAAAGACAAAAGGGGGTGATTTATTCAAGAAAGATAAACTGCAGGTTGTAATGGTAGAAAGCAGGCGAGGCGAGGATGGGGGGGGGGAGCGAGACTTAGAGAGAGAGAGAGAGAGAGAGAGAGAGAGAGAGAGAGAGAGAGAGAGAGAGAGAGAGAGAGGGGGGGGGAGGTGAGGGAGCAGAGACAGAGAGAAAGAATGATAGTCATTCCTGCGTTATCCCGCTTTCCTATTTCTTGCATTTTTTTTTTCCCCTCCGCGAGGCGACGCGACGCGAGACGTGGACGAGACGACGTGGACGACGGAGACTCGTCGCAAACTACTGATTGCGCGCGACTTCTCACTGACCTGCTGATTGTGATTGGGCACAGGGCTGGTAAGTGGCGGCATCCACGAGAAGAAGCTGCTGAACGACCTGCTGGACTCGTACAACGTGCTGGAGCGGCCGGTGGGCAACGAGTCCGATCCCCTCGTGCTGAGCTTCGGCCTCACGCTCATGCAAATAATCGACGTCGTAAGTGCCCAACTATTTTTTCTTCAGCTCCTCCATCCGGCGGCGGATGGAGAAGCCATCTTCCCCCTTTCCTCCCCCCGGGCCTTCTACGTTGTTCAACTTTCGGAGGCTCGGCGCGCGTGTCCCTTTTACGGATCTTTTTTTTTTTATTTCTGTTACTCTCTTACGCTTCGTATTTCTGTGTTCTAAAAAATGCGCTAATCTTATGAACGTTCTTTACATGTGTTACAAATACCTTTTCTACTTTTGAAATTTTTTCTATCATAATAGTATATTGACAGTGGATTAATTTAGTGTTATTTATTATCCAATTAGTAAAAGCTTCCATGTTACAATCAATATCTGCAGTCTTTGAAATTTTAAGAAGAATTTCAATCATCACAATTCATCACTGTTACTTCGTAACCGTATATTTTATATCACTATGTTATTCATGTAGAATATTAATATTAATATTGGCGATGTACAAATTTAGCGCGCACAGCAGTACCTACCTGCGTATCCTGTCATGAAGATGACACTCATATCAGATGATATGACACATATCAGAAATCTTGAATAGAGAGAAATAATATGTAGTATATTCTTGAGCACGTTTTAAAACAATATATTACATATATATTTACTTAATATATTATATGTACATTTAATTCCTACTTGCACGTCTATAAATGTTTAAATATATATATATGTTTTTTGGTTCGAGATTAATTTTTAAAAACAACTTTAAAGATCAACTATGTTTATCAATTGGACTGATCCACATGATTAAATATCTTAATGGTTTTAATTAATAATATACAGTTGAAAAGTTTTTAAGATATTTCTTTAGCAATCTGTTAATATATATCTTATCTCATTTTAGATTAAATTCTATTAAATTCTATCATTGACTGAAAAATTGATTATGTACTATGTATAAAAGATATCTGATACTACAGAATCTGTGTATATATTAGATTGATTACGTATATTCTGCACGTATATTCTGCGCATTATAGATTTACATTCATATTTCTCACTGATAAATATGCGTGTGCATTCCCCTCTCTATAATGACATATATTTCCGGCAAAGTGGTGTTAAAAACAAATAGTAGCAACTGTGATGCTGCAGCGATTTGTAAAAGCGTATCAATGCGATATATACATACATAGCACGCGCGCCAACGAATAAAAGTTTTCCGCGAATTCCGAAGTTGCGATCCCAAGTTGGCCGCAGACGAATCGCCTGCACCGATCAACGTCACAGATCGACGCTCAGATATTCGCCTAGTTCCCTAGACACACTATAAATTCAATAGAGTAATAGCCGCGGGATCGTCTTCAGCGAATCGAACGTTTGTGTACTTGATTATCCGCACTTTGATAAAAGATGTTTCTACGGTTTCATTAAGCTCGCGTCTCTGTGTCTTCGTAATTAATTGAATGAGAAAAGATCTTGTAACTTTTTACGCACATCGAGATGTACATTTATTCTCATGAAAAAGTGTAGATGCAAAATATTACAAAATTGCAAAAAATTAAATCACTTTCAATTACATTTGGTGTTCGGCCTATATGCGTGTACGACAGTAACGTATTAGTTTTGTTTAAACGAAATTAACGCCTAATTACATTGGAATAAAAAGCCAGCGGTCAAGCAGTTTATTCATAAAAGGACTAGTTACTTTTAATTCCTATACTATCTTCAGCCTCGAGAATGAAAACACATCGCTTCCGTTCGTCCCTCCATTTCCGCGGTTCGCGTTGATTCGTTGGCGAGGGGGGGGGGGACAAACGGCGGAGTTAAAGCGCAACTTCCGCAAGGAGGCAATGACCGAGTCCCGTGTGTCTCGTACGCGAAAACAGGAAGCTTTTAATTTCCGAAATCCGTATTGCCGAAATTTCGAGCCATCGGGCGCCCCGCGGCCCCGTCGAGCTTTCATACCTCCCTTTCAGCCGAGAAAGGAGAGGTTTCGCAATATCGCCGGTTTCGTGACGTACGCGTGGCCCCGTGAATACAAATAACGTGTGTGCATGCACACACGAGCGTGCATGCACGCCGCCCGCGCCGCGGCATCGTTTATCTTCGGCGTTGCACGCCGCAATTTTCGACGCAGCGCCGGGGGATGCGCGATAAACTGCCGAGAAAGGATATCGAGTGGGACGCGAACGCGGTATTGTGCGATCATGCTGGATGTAATAATAATGTTCCGGTATTGATACTGGGGGTGAGCGCGCGCGCGCGCGCGCGCACGAGTCGCGCCAGTCGATCCGCTAAAAATGCAAAGGATTATATTTACCAAGCCGGACGAGTATATCCCTCGAGTGAAAATATTTCTCGTATGTCAGATTAATTTCCAAAGTAATATCAGTCCCCGTGATTATTTTCCTGTGTTATTCCCTGTGATATATTTAGCATATCTGCTGCTTATATCGGGCCGCTGCCGCGTGTATCTTTTGTCGCCGTATGGATATAAAACTTTATGATTATCGGAAGTTATTTAGTCACCGCACGTTTATACGCTTCGAGACGCGGTGATTACTAAAATATGTCGATTCGGAAGGTATTCGCATCACGGAATACAAATCAAAGTGTATACGTCTATACGCACGTGCCGCTTCTAAATTTTTTAAAGAGACGCGAATAAGAGATGAGGAGTCTTAGTTTTCGTTCGCCTGTTATATACCAAACACGCGCGTGTGAGTCTCCCTCTCGTTCTTATTCTTCTTATTATTCTTAAATTAGATTGCGTGTACCTTAACCCAGGCAGCACAAAGTCTAAAATTGACGCATAAGACGTCCTTAAGAAGTCTTTTAGATGCCTTTCAGACACTTCTGCGAGAACTGTCCAAAAGATATCCTCCAAAAGATGATTAAAAGATGTCTTATGCATCGATTTTAGACTTTGTGTTGTCTAGGTTGCTTATCTTTCCAGGACCGGTGCGACCATATAAGCGAACTAGGGGGTCGCCTAGAGCGGCAACATCCGGGAGGGGGGTGGGGCGGCATTTGTGACCGCTCTGCTTTGAACGCGTCGTTACATATTTTGCACGTAAAGACGCTCCTGCCAGCATTTTGTTTTTATGTTTTAATATTTGAAACATTCTCTCGCGTAAAATATATATGTTTAAAATATTTAAAATAATAATTGCGTAATTGTTCTGAAGGGGTGCACATTATTTATTCGCCTAGAGCGTCAATCTTCCTTACACCGGCCCTTAGAGTATCTTTCCTCCAAATGTTCGTTGCATTATGACAAAAACGTGTGCGATACGAGTGTACATGACGTGCGCGAGCGTGTATATATGTAGGTACGCGAGAGTGTCCGCGGTGCATCGGATCCGTGGGAATGCTAAGCCCAAATGACTGCGCGCGGAATCAGTCATCCCTGCGGGGCTGCATCTAGATTGCACATCGCGCTGCATGTTGCTGCCATCTGCATCCCGTGCACTCATGCACACGTGTGTCACTGCCTAGCTATCGCTTCTGCGCATTCGGGGAGCGTTTCGGTGTATATGCCACACTGCGATCGCTGCTGCGGATATCTACAGAGCCCCAGCCATATGAAAAGTACATGTGCCGAGATATACCCATATACCAACTTATTCCGGAGGATACACTCCGGCAGCTGGAGTCACCCCCGTGCGCTAAGACAGATATATTCCAGCGCGATCTAACGACTCCTCTGTAAAACACGTATAGTTATTTTAGAAACCACCGGAAATGCAGCAGAAAGCGCTTCCCGAAATTTACCGTTGAATTTTAAGCATGTGCTTAAATTAAAATTCTGCTGGAGTAAAACTGAAGAGTAGAGCTTTCCGATTGCAAACACGAAGCTAAACTCGTGAGAAAGAGCTTCTAGAAATACCTATTCTTGATGATATATTAAGGGTCCGAATTTCACAACTCGAGTTTTATTTAACCGCTCGCTTTATATTTTTCTAATCTAAGAATTAGAAAGAGATAAACAGTAAGCTAAACCGAGATCAAAGTTAATCTTACATTTATGGAACCGGGCCTAAATATAGTACGTGCGTGCCAAATTATTTTGCGTTTTTGTAAATTGATGTGCTTTTAAAAAGATCTTGGCACTTATTGTAAAAAAAAGCTAATTTGCAAAATTCTGCTGAAGTAAAACTGAAGAGTAGAGTTTTCCGATTGCAAACACGAAGCTAAACTCGTAAGAGAGAGCTTCTAAAAATACCTATTCTTGACGATTTATTAAGGACCCGGTTTCACAATTCGCGGTAAACTCGAATTTTATTTAATCGAAGTTCAACTCCCTTTATCTTTTTTTAATCTAAGAATTAGAAAGAGATAAACAGTAAGTTACACTAAAATTAAAGTTAATCTTATATTTGTAGAATCGGGCCTAAATGTAATACGTGCGTGCCAAATTATTTTGCGTTTTTGTAAATTGACGTGCTTTTAAAAAGATCTTAGCGCTTATTGTAAAAAAAAGGTAGTTTGCACCCTACACGAGTAACGAACGTACTCTAATTTTATTTTCAAGCAATCAATAAGAAGCTTTTAATGTCATCGCACACTGAATTAATCGGCGGAAATTTAATTGTAGGGTGCGGCGCACGACCCATATCACTACCCATCTTCCTCTAATACGGCAAGTAGGAAGAAATGCGGTGATCTATTTTTCTCACAAAGATTCAGACACGTCTCACACGTGTACGTCAGTGGATAAAAAAACACTATTGTCAATAAATAAATATATGCAAAAAAGAGCGCACGTAATAGAACTCTATTGGGAAGTTCGTTTATCTGAATTATCTTTAGACATTTCGATAAAGTCAACTTTTTACCGGAATCTCGTTTCTTTTACGTCAGCTCGTATTTATGAATCGTCCGTGTATTTTTACGTATTGCCCCCGTATTTGTTCACATTTGTATCTGAGAAGCGGAAAAACATAAATTCAAAAGCTGCTTTTTTCCCACACATTTACAAAGGTTCGCCATTTCATATTATGAATAAACATTTTCCAGATGGATCGAATAAACAAGTTTTAATAAATTCCGTTAGGAGAAAGCGGTGTATTATTTTCTACAAATTTTCCCAAATGTTATATAAATGTTATATAAACAGGTTTTGTTTAAAAATGCCAATTTTTCGTCGTACAAAACAATAATGAATTTTTTATTTAACATTGACTTGTATTCTTTTCCGTGATGGTATCTTCATCGAATTTATTTGATTCCGTAACACAGTTTGTTTATTTCCGACAACATACAACAATATGAAACGGATTATGTTTCAAATTTGCTCTCTTCTGCTTCTCACGTGCAAAGATCTACATTCTATCTCAACAAAAGTATTTTTATAACGTTTGAGGGAAACTGATTTATTTATTCGAGGAGGCTGTTTCTCGTTGTACTTGGAGCGCCATGGTGCTCGAAATCATGAACAATTTTGCTCTCGAAACGCCTGCTCCGGAGTGAGTTTCAATAGTGTTCCGCAGCGGAATAGTACTTAGTCCGGAGATTAGCCGAGTTTCAGAGCTCACTTGCAATGGCACCGACTATCTCGTTTCTTCGGGCCGGGCGTGTGCACGTGCGCGTTCTCTG